TTGTTTCAGAATGCGCTTGACTCCCGACGCCGCGAAGTCACCATGGAAAGTGGTTTGGAACAGCTTGAAAGGAGCATAGGTCAGATAATTGAATGGCTGGAAAGATTGTTGGAGTGAGTTTTTTAATGCTGTCTGCTGACTGTACTGATATCTTAATCTCTTATAACCATTTGTACCTCTGCAGATACGTCAACGAGGTCATATCCCGTGACGAATTGCCTTCTGATGCCACGATGGGGCGTCGACTGATGGATATTGTCAATACTGCTGCCACTCACATGCAAACTGAAAAACTGGATAATCTTGTCAAGAATAGCCTCAGGGTACGTTTCATCCTTGCTGTGGCTTTCTGTTGCCATTTAGCTAGCTTTAATCATTTTCAGGATTACATGATGATATCGTATCTGGCAAATCTTACAACGACTCAATTGCAAGTCCACGAGAGAATGACAAATATTTAAGAGATTCCTATTCATCTAATTTTGTTTACCAAATTAGCGTTGGGTTCATATGATACATTACGAAATCTATAAGTAAGTGCTGAAGGATTTTTGATATGGTATCTTCATACGTACGGCATTATATCCCCTATTTTCCTCCATTGCCACCCCTACTTCCCCTATTTCCTTGTTTTGTACCGTGAAATATTACGGATATAGCGCTTTTTTAGCTTTTCTTTACTTGGATTTTTTGTTGACTATTGAAAAACTGTTGTCCCGTGATTGTTGAAGTCTGTTGAAATGAATAATTATATGAAACCGTGGTCTGTATGTTCCATCGCATAATCGAGCACGTATGGTACTCTTGTATCTCGCGAATCTATCAAAGAATGAGACAATAAAATCCTTATGTTTAGTTATTAGAAAACATGTCAGCTAATAGGGCTGTGAGCTTACGGGAGCGCGTTGCACAAGCTTATCATGACTATGGACGGTAAGTTTTCACTTTTTTGTGGCATCCAAACCTCTTGTGGAACACACTCACGACCGGACAGTTTTTCCATACGGCCATTTCGGACCAGAGCGCATTCGCAACATCAAAGTTTGGATCTATACATATTTGCAGGTTTTGCTCTGCACATCCAGTGGCATGCTTATCTATGTCACTCATAACCATGGTGGTCCTGTCGTATCCTACCTTCACTAGATTTCGTCTTCCAACGAAC